AGATTCCCTGTAGTATAAAACTTCATAATTAAACCGGTTAATTTATTGACATAGAAGACAACTAGATTGTGGGAAAAAAATACATTTTCTCTGGCACAAGTGTGTGTGCTGTGGAGGGACTGCTCCAGCATCTCAGATGCAGTTTTACAGCAGCAACAGTCGTTGACAGGGTCAACCTGTAAAATCTGTCTTGGCCTATACATATTAATGAATCTAAAGCAGTTAGCACTGTTGTTGCCTGGAACTTTATCCTGAAGAGGAATTGACTCAGAACCATATGGAATCAATAAAGAGGCTGGAAACATGTCTGGCCAGTGTAAGACCAGAGACAGGGCCTGTCAGATGGGCAGGACTGTCAGGAAAATTAACAAAGGAGCGTTAGAGAACTATTTAAAGCTGCACTAATCAATATTTTTATATCAACAATGGATCAAATGACTGTGTAATGCATCAGGTGTGGCCTGTAGTGGGTAACCTACAGAAAATCATTATATAACCCTGCAGCACCTCTCTGCTTTTAGCATCTTTTAGCTGTAGTTTTGGTTTTGGTTTTCCACTGTCTGCTGTAATTGACCTCATTTACAACCACAAGAGGTCACTGTGAAAAGAAAGAGGAAAAGGTTTGGAGGTGAACATACTGAAGCATATGGCAGCTAAAATACCAGAAAGATTTATCATGCATGCCAAGCTCAATATTATTTTAGCATCATGAAAAAATTACAGAAAACTGAATAAGAAAATTGATATTATTCATAGAAATGACTTTTATTCATACTGACTTTTAAAAGTCATATTTTTTCCTAGCCTAGTTAAGATAAATGCATTTAAAACATTCTATTAAAGGTATATCACGATTTCAAATTAAATCAACAGCAAGCAACAATAACAATAACAGATTATTCATTTGGTAATTTTCTATTAAGTCTCAGGGAACAAACATTCCTCTCAGGTCAGAGATCTTCATCAATCAGCCCATAGTCTTCCCCACGTGTTGAAGTCAATGGCTGCAGACCACAGGACAGACTCTTATGTGCTTTTTGGATCATCTCTGTCCTGGAGAGCAAACTGATTCTGTGCTAGTTATCAGGGACAGCTTGTATATAACATTAACTCCTGTCTGACTGCAGATCATATGCTACACCTCTTTAGTTTATCATTGTTTTACTTAAGTCCCTGAATGCATATTTCTACATTTAGAGAACTTTAATGACACAGATTACTGAAAGCATACTGTACTACTACTACAACTAAAAATGTTGCAGGAAAAATAACCTAAAACACATTTTCAACAACTCAACACATATTTTGTTGCTTGAATACATCACAAACATAATTTGATCACAATTGGGAACACTGTCTTATTTATGACAGATTTATATGTTTAACAATAATTCTATGTCACTGTCCTTGTCATGCAATACTAAGTGGGGCTCCTAAATGACACTTACCCCGCCCCTTTCTGTCACATCACCCCCATGAAGTCATGTGATTTCAGTCACATGATGTCCATGCTAACTTATAGTAAAAGTCCTGTTGACTATATTTTGTTAGAACAGGAAATAAACAAACTGGAGCTTTTAACAGATTACAAGAATTCACCGTTAATATTTTTCTGCTTCTGTATTTTAGCAATTGAAACTGGAGAAAACCCCCACAGACACAAGAGAAAATGTAAACTCAAACTGGAAACGTTCTTGCTATGAGGCAACATTGCTAACCACTGTGCCACTGTGCCACTCTGTAAAGTTTGTTCATATTCAAATGTTCACATATTGCGTAAGTTAATAACTTAAATAAAATGTAGTATTGAAACAGAATCACTTAAGCAAGTAATTGTGGCTCATTCAAACAGTTTGGTCAGTACAGTTCTTTGTGTTGATAATAATGTTGTGTCTTGAGGTTGCTCTACTGATCCCAAGTGGCCACAGATAAAGTGATGCAGCTTTAAGACAATATTGAGATAGTTTGGAAATGACATCACTGTATGATTATGTTTTCTTTTCTTTTTCATTTAATGGTCTAACATATTTAGAGGTTTCCATTGTATAACTTCGAACAGATGCTGAGGAATCCAAAAGAGTAAGTGTACCATTATCTACAGTAAATGCTTGTTGAGAGGTTGTTTCTCCAAGAAGAGAGTAACAGAAACACTGTCTCATCATTGATCCACACAATAACACAGAATCAGCCCTAAATCCTTTGACACTGATCACCACCAGCATTGTGTCTAGTGTTACCATCATCATTATTATTAAAGCTAATAATTTCCTGTCACATTCTACATCTAATGTCTGTAACCTGTCCCTGGCCATTTTAGTTTCACTCTTCCTGGTGTAATAGCAGACTTCACTGCCAAGCAATACATATTTTTAATTGTGTTCCTTGAAGTGACTTTTCACCACAGAACCTCTGGAGAACTGTATTTTTCATCCAGTAAAGTAAAAGGGCACAAGGAGCTGTGAGAGGCTGAAAGCTGCTCACACTTACTCCAACCGTGAAACAGCTTCTTATCATAGACGCAGCTTGTGTGGGAGCAGATTCTGTTCATTTAACTTATTCAGATAAACAAATTTGAAGTTGATAACATATCATCCGTCAGGCGTTGACTGGTTGGTCTGAGGACAGATGCAGAAACTCCAGAAATATTTACAGTTCAATCTCTCCACCTACATCACCATCACTGTGAGTGTTCTGCTCTGCCCTGCTTTGTTTCTGCCTCAGCCTTAAAAACAGGTTCTAACAGAAGATTCAAATATTTAAAAACCAACCCTCATTTGTCAGTTTATTGGGAACACCCAGCTAAAACGAATGCAGTCTAATACAACAGTCTAGTGATAAATATTACCTCCATGAAGATATAACTCTCAGTGCCATTCAAATCAATGAGGCCGAGCTAAACAACAGACACACCCCTTTGTTCATTTCAACACATTTCAACCGCAGCCTCCAGAACGATCTGAGAGTTGACTCAGCACTTCTAACACATGAGTGGAACTCAGTGGAGCACATACCTCAGCCAAGGCCCACAGCAAATCTGTCCTGTTTTTTAGGGCATAGTTCTAAAGCCACTGAAGATACATAGAAACCGTTGTTTCCATGATGAATCCACATGATATTAGATACTTATTGGGCTCAGTTACAGGTTTATAGCCATACAGCTTCTGAAAAAATCCTACCACCCTATGAAATCACATCCGCTGGATCCAGACTTTTATTTGGATCCACACCATTGATGTCAGTCCACCAAATATATAAGATTTTTTCATCAAATTCCAGGTTTTGTTCCCTGAGAAATCAGTGAATATTCTGATCAAAACTACCATGAAGGAAGGATTTATTGCAGGATTTACCTGAATTCTGCCACAGATTTATAAAAGTTTTATTTGAGAGACCAATGTTGTGTGTGTGACTCAAAATACACCACAGCTCTCTCATTCATTTGTAATGAAGGAACCTGTCAGTCAGTGTAACGACACACTGAAGTGTTCTACACAACAATGGAGATCAGGGGATATGCAGACTTTGGCTACATAGGATAAGTTGATTGTTAGTTTTCATCTTTTATCACGGGATTTCTTGAAATTAAGAACAGTATATAATATTATTCGCCCGAAACCTGAGCCACACATGCCAGGTTTCTTTTAGTATTTGAATGTGCTTCTGCTCAAAACAGAGAGGGCCTAACTGCAAGAAAAGCTAACCACTGTCTTCCCTATGTTCAGTAATAAACTCTATGTACCTCCAATCAATTTGTAAAGTACATCTTTTGTATTTACATTTTCAAGTGATGTTTTTGCTGAACTAAACAAGTTGAGAAGTGAATTGTTTCACTTCAAGCTTCCCTGAACATTTGGAGACATCTTCATCTGCTGAGTAACTCTGGAGCAAAATTTCCACTGAATTTATTGTCAGACTTTGTAAACAAAGTATTTGGCTCCAGGTTATTCTGGGTGTTTTCTTCCCACCAGCTTCCATCAAAACATCTGGAGCAAAGGAATGCACTCTTTTCTACCAAGTGTAAGAAATAACATGTAGTCGATCGACTCTATTTGATACAAGCAGAGGATGGAGGATCACACACTGGATGAGCTGCCTTCTCCACCAATTATAAGAAACAGATGTCTCAGAACTGGCTGGAGCTTGTCCAGGTCTACACACCGATACACTCGGTGTGCATGCATGTTAAAAAGAAGCCCATGGCACCGCAAGCCTTCACGGTAACTGCTGCCGTCGACATGACATACGGACAGAGCTACACAGCATATTTTCTGTCTGTCTTGGTCACTGCTATTAATAACTTTTATATCTGCGACTCCTGGGTGGTTTGTTTAGTTGTGCTGGGTTTAATTAGTATTTTAATTAAACACCGTCAGCAACCCTTTTGTTTGTTTTTTTTGTTCTGGGTTTAACTGCTGAGGATCACTGTCCACCAAACAGCACTTCAAGTGATGGAGCAGGCACCTGCTCTGTTTTGCTCAAGTAGCAGAACCAGTGCAGCTTAAATTCATATTCACCCAGCAGCCTGGATAATGTGTCATGTGGCCTGTTTGTTATTTCAGCTCCTGCAGCTTCTTGATTTGAGAACACAGCGAGAATGTTTTGTACTCGACTGGTATATTAGACCAAATTAATCACGTGATCTGCCCACTTGCAGTCACAGTTATTTGTCCCTCGTGCTCAGTCATGTTATTACTTATGACGTGAATGTTGCCGATTAGTGTCCTCCACACTAATGAGGAGAGGCAGAGAAAAGAACCACTGCTCTTTTAATATCAAGCATCCAGAGAAGCAGTAATTACGAACTGCTGGCATTTAGAAACTGGAGGGTACGGATTGTGTTGTAGTGTCTGTACAAGTAGAAACAGCTGCATCTAGTGGAGTAAATCCATTTCCAAGCTCCAAGGGAGTCCAGGACATGAGGCTGTGTCAATACAGGTGCTGTGTGAACGGGTGCTGGTGACAGCATAGCTCAGAGGACCAAAAGAAAAACAAACTGCCCATCACAGAGAAGGTGGCTCGTTTAGTGCAACTCAAGAACTACACACTTTTATGCTGCATTATTATTCTGGGTCTTACATGATATGTCCTTGAGTACTGTTTTTTCTCAATAAAGTACATTTGATTTGAACTGCTACAGAAGAGAAAAATAAGACAAAGTTATGAGTCATCGATCAGAGCAGCAACAAACCACTGCATTTCATCTCTCATCTGCTTTATTAGCACTGCTAAATTAGTTTCACAAACCACTCGCAGTTTTATCACCAAGTCTTTGTTTCACAATGTGTTTGCCTTCATTAAAAAAGGAAGAATTCTCTGACTACATCTGACAACATTCAAAAACTGTTCCAGGATGTATGAAACTGCCTGATGTGTAATTACATGATCACTTCTTACTGATTTCAGTGTGAGAGATTTTTAGTAAGTGGGAGACTCTTGAATTTGTATATTTACCTTCAGTCTCAGTGCCTTTCCCTAGATGACCTCATATTAGTGATTACTGTAAGAAACATACTCAACAATATTGAACATTTACATTAATATGAAACTGCGTGGACTGGTTCTGCCAACAGCACTGACGAAGCAGCACAGGAGTGGAGATGGTGCGAGTCCCCTGGAGGTCTAGCTTGTTTCTTGATGCACAGATGGGACTGTGGGTTCAGGGTTGTCTGCCATGTTCTCGTCGGAGTTATCACTGCTTCCATATTTGCTCTTTAAAGAACTCCCCAAAAACAGCCAGTACTCTTTTCGAATGGTGTCCTTCTCCTGCGCTAGAAGTCTACAGATCTTCCAAGGAGGTGGGAACACGAAAAGAGTGAGAAAACAATGTTAATAACATTATTTCAGGATTCAACTTTAAGCTGGAACAAAGTCTAACACCTGGACCACAATGGATACGTAAGCGGCACATAGGCGTCTCAGAATGTCTTGCTTGTTATCAGGTTAGCGCTGCCAAACTGCCCCAATGAGACAAGCCTGAGATGCAACCCTGCTCTTCTAGAGTCAGGGTTTTTTATTCCTATTTTTCCCAAGTGCCTCATGCAGCTCACAGCAAAATGGACAATGAAGTTGATCTTCCACTACAGTTTTAATGTATCTTGAATATGTCATAAACATAAATATTTGCAACACTTCCTGTACCTGCTTCAAGGTAATGTAGTGTTTCTGATGACTGAGGTTTTTATTGTTATAGCATGACAGGAAGATGCACAGCTTCATACCATAGAGTCCTGACATTTAGTTGAGTATATAGACCTACTTTCATTTAAGGAGAAACAATAATCAAACCAGAAACCTAACGGAGCAGCTCCTTAGCAGACATGCTCCCTGTGTGAACAACAGATGCATGCAAGATGTAGCAGATCAGTGTCACATGCTGCACATGCACCCAATGTGGCTCAGGTATAAGACTGTATTTGCTTACGTATACTAGGGACCTACCTCTAGAGCTTTTCTTAAAGTTCCCTTTCGTTCTTCTTCCTCTACATTTTCATTTTGGTTGCTGCTCTCCAAGACATCCTCATAGCAATCAAACAGGAATGCCAGAAGGTAAGGAGAACAGTGCGTGTCCTTCAGCTCCAGGACTCTCTCCAGCAGACCAGGCTGAGATGACAGACCTCTGTCTTGCAGCATCCTTGAGGGGGAAAAAAAACAGGATTCAGTCACCGAGCTTTTTCATTTTTAATAACCGAGTCTCCACTCAGTTTTTCCCCCTTAAGTCTAAATAAGTCGCATCAACAAATTCTACTCAAAAATAAGAAAAGTATCTTCATGTCAGATAATATATAAACATGTTTGCCATTTGTAGATTTTGTGGAGTTATTATAGAAAAAAAACATTTGTTACATCTTACCCTTTCAAATAGTTCCATGCGCTTTCATTGTGGGGAGCCTTCCTGATCTGGTTCAGACAATACCTTATGTCAAAAAATAAAAAATAAACAAACAAAATATAACTATAGTCTCATTTAGGCACAAGTGAAGCTCACCGCTGAAGAAATTAAGCACAGATGGGACTGTAACAAGAGTACATGTACAAAATATATTTTCATGCAAAGAGTTTTTTTTATCCAACTTTAAAAAGTGTCTTAATATTTCATACTGAGGACTCACTGAATCTCTCTCTCCACTATGGTCGGATCAGAGAAACCTGTGGTTTGAGAAATTACGAAATGCCTCTGATTCCATGCAGAGTTATTCCTCACATCTTCTTCCAAAAGATTCTCCACAAACTCCAGCTCATTATCCCACAGTTTGTACTCCTGAAAATGAAACAAAGCCAGGGTTGGCAACACACTTGTTCATGGAATCATGCAGAGCTTTTCATAGTGACCCTGCAATGATTGAGACAAATACTGACTAGAGAAGGCCTCAAACGACACACCACCAAAGGATTCAGTCTGGCAGAGTGGCTCATTGTGGGTGGAAAACTGGATCTATTTCCTCTGTTTAAAGGCCAAACTCTGCTAACGGCTCCAACACCTACCTGGATGACCCACTGCCTGTGCTGCCAAGCGTGGTAATTCTTCGCATCTTGGCTGAGGATGTCTGCAATGAACTCCAATTCCTCTGAAGGGTCATTTAACCACTCCACCACCATACGTCTGTGATGCCTGGAAGACGGGTTAGGAAAATCACTCTTTATCTTTACTTGTATTGAATGTTTTCATTGAAATAAGTGAACTTAGACACACTGTCTGCCTCCCTCTCTCCTCTGTGTTGTCTGGACAGATACAGAAAACATGTGCCCTGATATGAAATTGCCAGCACTCACCAGACTTGATAGTTTTTGGGTTGCTCCTCGATGATGGCAGTAATGTAATTCATCTCATCCCTCAGGTCCTTTGAAAGGGCTTGAAGTAATACTCGTCGGTAGTGCCTGCACATCCCCAAACCCAAATGTTTTCAGCACTTAAGTTTCACAATCAACACTGTCATTTTCAGAAATAACTAACTCATTTAGCTACTGCTGTATATGAGGTGATTTATATGTGACTAAAGGTATTTCTTCCTAACTTACAGCCTTACATATTACATATTATGTGATCCAAAGATAAAATAGTTCCCTTCAGACGAAGGCTGTGTTCAAACACCAAATGTATTACATGGAAACAAACTGAAAGAAATCTTTAAATAATTCTTACTCCCCATCACATTATCGTAATTGAGCACAACCGAATAGTAAACATAAGTTTTCTATATTGCAAACATGCAGCATGCTCACCACACTGTGTAATTTGCAGCATTTAGCTCAATGGCTTCTGCTGTCAAGGTGAAAGCCCGGTCACTTCTCTCATCGTTCTTCAGGAGTGCACGGAAATAGTCATAAACATCTGAGACTGTGGGAAGAAATGTATGTATGTGAATTAAACAAGTCTGAGTTACTAACAGACTCTGAGAACTGCAGATCATCTGTTTGAAAATGTTTAAGGCCTAAAATATTTCTAGCATCTGCTGTTTAAGTGAATTCTATGTGCAGTTTGAAAACACAACTGAAGCTCATTTTGATTGTTTGGTTATAAGGTGATAAAAATGGTTTTGTAGTGAGTATAGAGCGTCAAATCACAATATACATTATTTCAAGGCACTTTACATAGTTAGGTCAAAACATTATAGTGAAAAAAAATACAGAGAACATTCCAACAAGAGCAGCACTGGTGACGACAATGAGAAAGAGAGAAGAGAGAGATCATATTTTACTTTCATGTGATACCCTACTCTTCGTTACTCCTATCTCTTTCTAGCAGTCCCAGCAGTCTTACACTTCTCAGAGTAGGCGATCTTCACCACAGGATTTGGTCCATCATCCTGAGGAACTGGCTCCAGGTCTGCCCACTCCTTTCTGTCCCTGAAGCACACAAACACGGGGGTGGGTTTCCTGGCTGCTGACCAACAACACCTCCTGATGGCAGCTACAGCAACAAACTACTTTGTTTTACAAATGGAGTTTGAATGTGACTTCATGAGGCTGCTCGTGTTATTCATATAGTTGGAGTCGGTGCATTTTGTTGTCTCTTCTGTTTGATGCAGCTCCTTGGATCAGGAGGCAGCTGCCAGAGCTCCATCAGCACAACACTGATTTAACTATCACTTATCACTGGTGCCAGTGACACGGGTGGTGACGTCACTACAGCAAATGGAAAGTGTTAACAGCATTAAACTACCAGATACCCAACATCGCCGCGTTATTACAAACTTAAGTCCCTGCAGAAATAGTTAGCCGTCAGAGCTAGCAAGCTAACCACTGAAACAAGGGAGCAGCCGGGCAGTACGTACCTGTAAAATATATATCGAGTTGGGTCAACAGCATAATCGTCCCCGAGTTGGTCCTCGACGTCAGCATCCAACTCGTTGTTTTCCTTCACCTCCACAGACTCATGTGAACTTTCTTCTAAGCCTGACATTGCTAACCTGCTAGCTTAGCCGCGTCTGCTCCGTCTGACAGAAAAATGATGTCACTACCGGTGAGGCAGGAAGCTGCCTTCACGTACCGTGGGAAATATTCACTTCTCGTCTGTCAGCTGTTAGTATATTGACCACGTGTGTTAGTCCTTTTCTTTCTTGTTTTCGTTTCTGCTTTTTTTGTTAATGTGTGTGTGTTACACTTCATATACATTTTCCTATTTCTTATGCTCTGTCTGATTCATGTATTATTTAGATTTTAAGTCTTATAATAGTAGAACACCATCATGTTGCCAGTTAACAAAACAAGATGTTAATGTTTAATATTCTGCACAAACATCCAGGTTTTAATTTAACAAATATTTCTCAATACCAAACTGCCAAGAACATGTGAGATAAAAAAAAATGTCAAGCATGATTGACTTCAGATCAGAGATACTGACAGCAGCAGTATAATTGTGCTGGATGTAGGCCAGTAACAGTTATCACCACTCACTGTAAGTTTTCAGCAGACACATATGCATATTTACGACCTGTTTTAGAATGAAATGACCCACCTGACGTTAAACTAGCTCCAGGAGTTACCTTAATGTTGCACATGTGTACCCTTCACATTTTTCACACTTATAAATGTGCTCAAAGTTTAAGAATCACCATCAGCCTTTTCACATTCCTGTGTAAATCTCTCCAACAGCTGGTGAGGACATTAGAAACTATTTTCCACTAGTGCTGTGTGACCACTGATCTTCAGTAGAGACGCATTTTCTGGCTCCATCTTATGGCAGGATTTAGTTGAAAACTTAAAAGCATAGCAGCTTGAACTGCTGAAATACAAATCATTCACATTCAGATTTAAAACATCCCAGGCCTGTTTCAAACCGCCCCGTAGAGCATGTTAACCTTCAAATGTCTGAATCTAATAAACATCTGATGTGTTTGAAATAACTTTTTGAAGGAGAGGTCAAGCTGAACTTTATTTTCATCAATGACTCTGAACATTATAAAAATAAATAGATGATTCACAGTCAGTGGATCATAATACAAATTGTTATCAAAATTATGTATCGGCCAGAATGAAGAATTAAAGACATGCATAATAACCATTGCATTAACTGAAACATCTTCTGAATACTCTTCTCCATCTTTTGGAATTGACAACCACTGTTTTGTAAAAGAACCTGTTGACAGAATATAAAATCATCATTTAAATTACACAGCTGTGCAGGTAGTATATGGTTCTTCTGACAAGAATGATAGCTTGACCCGAAGTGTTCAGGGAGTGTCTTCTTGATTCAATCCGTGTTTTTCAATGTAGCGTCTGGGGGAGAAAAACAGGAACAACCATCAGCCAGTGTTTACTTCACTTTATAAGAGTTAATCTGTAAAAGAATTCAACACAAATCTGGGATCAATGTTGGGGGTAAAATACTTAATAACCAACATGCTATCACTTTAACAGGACTCAATGAGTTTACAAAACATGTGGTGTTGCTGATGCCTTTCTGGACCAAATTAAAATGAATTAAGTGCCATATGGTCAAACTCCATCGAACTGAAAAACTAATCTGCCACATTTGAAATACCGGAAATAAAGAGCAAATAAGCTTTTTCAAGAATAATAGTTTATCTGAAAAAGATTTCAAAGTTGTGTTTTATATTTTTAGTGTGAATAACTTAGGTATCAATTAACATTACACTGAGGCCCACTGAGGTGAAATCTTCCATGTTACTATTTTCCTGCAGCTCCATAAAAATATCTGGTACATTTCAGGTTTGTATCATTTCTCTGTTCAACAAATGTTCCCTTTTCCCCCTTTGTTCGGTGTCCCTAGACATTTTATAAAAATATTCTGGAAATACAAATTGGTACATTTGCATTTAGATCTGAAATTATTTTGAATTTTGTACTTGAAATCCAGGGGAGCCTATAATTTTGACCAGCACTGTAATTGCTCCACTATGTTCAGCAGATAGCTGCTCACATGCCTGTGTGGTGATGGGCAGATTATGTACAGTGACTAAAGAAGCTTGCTGAGTCTAAATCTTACATTAATGAGAGTGAACCAAGTTGTGGGCTGAAAATTGAAAAAGGTGGCTTCGCAAAGTTTCATAGAGGTGAACTGCAGAGTTGTGTGATAATTCTCTGTGGTTTAGTTACTACTGTGGTTGCCACAATACCAAAATGTACTGCTGGACAAAGCCAGTATTATGTTTCTTTGGACTCAGCAGATTAAATAATCAGATGATTAATCCATGAGGAAAATAATCTTTAGTTGCAGCCCAATACAAAATAGTTAAAAATGAGCTCCTCCTCAAGATGACAAATAATAATCTAATGATACAATAGCATAACTGTAAGTGGGCATTTTTCTCTGTACTTTTACATTTAATACTTAAAGGACATTTTCCTGACTATGTTTTCAGTGTTGCTCTTACATTTACCTTTTTTAGAAAACATAGTATTTTTACAGTGTGGTATTTGTACTTCTACTGACTCCCTCCCCCAGATTGTGTACGTTACACAGCTCTAACATTACACTGAGTATCTGTGTGATCTGTTTGATCAAAAATATTGAACTTCACCAGCCAGAAAAATGTGTGGTTGACTATGTTTTTACACAGAAGAGATGAGACGGTTTAGAGACCTCATGTTGGTCACTCTACTTTCTCTCAGTGACTTGCTCCTTCACTACTCTGTCAGAGAACGTGTGGATTTCAGAACAAATCCGCAGGGTCTAAATTAGCAGAGACATGTATATTTTGACATAAGACCTCTGTCTGGCCCAGATTTAACACTGTGTAGAATCAGTACTGAGTGACAGACACAACCCGAGGAATGAATTCAAAGTAAGTCTCAAGCCATATGAATATTGCATAACTGTTCAGTCCAGCACAAGTGCAAGATGCTGTGCATAATGAAGCACCTCTGGCTGTTCTCTGAGGTGTCTTATTAACACGAGCTCAACAGACATGGAGCATTTTCAATGAGTCCAGAAATATTGGATTAAATCAAAGGTTAAGAGACTAACAGAATATTTAATTTCACCATGTATGGCAGCTCCCCTTACAAATAATAAAATCATATCCTTATGGAGGGGACACTATTCGCAGAAAGAAAAAACTCACCTTCTTGCAAAATTATACAGCGCTTCTTTTCTATCTTGGAGAGACAAATGTCTGTCAACTGGTGATTTCCCAAAAGATTTGGCAGCAGGCTGTAGATGACAAAAACTATTTATTGAAAGACAGATCTGTGCAAATTTAATCAGTTTGAATTTGTGCAAAAATAAATATTGCTCAACTGAAATTCCCCCACGTACTTATACACAATTATCTAGGGAATATCATCTGTATTTGCTCAAAGAAAATTTGATCCTAAATGATAAATAGATTAAAAATCTCAGGATAACAGCATTCAGAACCAAATAGTCAGACCTTTATGGTGGGTGCAGAACCAGAGGAGTTGGAGCTAATCTTTGAAGGCCCAAATGTTGACGTCCCGGTTGCTTCCATTGGAGTTTCCTCCCTGTTCTCCAGCAGATTTGTTATGGTGGTGTCAACACAATTGGTTTTCGCTGTATGTAATCAAGAGACAACTGTAAGTGCATTTAAAAGTTAAGACTGAACAGAGCAGAGACACAGAGCATTCCTAAGGGACAGCAGGTGTGTTTGGTCTTAAAGGTAAATGTGGGTCATACCTAAATCCTTTGCGATGACATTAAGTGGAACATGAGGCAGCACATCCTTCACTTGTTGGGCCATCTTAGCAATCCGATGATCATCTGTGCCCAAACTCTGCACCATGAAACCAAGCCCAATAGAGCTGGGTCTGACAGCTAGGGTGAGGAGAGGAATAACTAACATCCCTCTGAAAACAATCAGCTCAGTCTTTACATGCAGAGAATTGGATATGAGTTTATGTGATTGACTTACTTGTAGATGTTTGTGGTACCGTGTGTCTTCTCCTTTTGATGTGCTCAACTTTATCAGCTTTAGTGATCTTGGTGGAGACCAGGCCAAGTTCACCTGCTAGAAGCTGAAAAAAGAGATTTAATGATGCTGTGTTTTTTAAGCACTAATGTAGTTTATTAAATAGTGATTTGGGCACAAGAACTGGGGTCAGAGGTACAGAAACATATACATAGAACAAATTACTGTATTATTACTGACATTTTTCTTCATACATTGTTTTACTGTTACAAATGTAAAACTGGAAAACATTAGTTTTACCTCCTGGACTTTGTTGGCAAACTCCTGTGTGGACTCCCCATCTTGTCTGGAAACTGGTGGGAGCCAACTAGGAGGAAAACAACAAACAAATAAAGTAATGATATAAGAAATTCTGAGGACATTCATGGTAGAGCGGAAATTCTGACAAATCATCAAGATACTCTTAAAAAACACTTTCACATCAGTCTCCAGGAAAAACAAACGAATGTGAATGGATCATTTTCTGCTGTCGAAAAGCATGATTTTATTTCAAAAAGCAATTGCTGATAGAAAAATTGATACAAATTATTTAGTACCTTACATGATACACTGTACATGGAGCAAAAAAAGTCCACAACAGCTCGATCAGCCAGCTGGAGTCAGGTGTGTTCTGTGGACAGACAAAAGGCCAAAAAGTTGATACACATTTTATTTAAGTGAAATCTGACATGCCCATAAACTAATTATGAACACAAAGTCAGCAAGAGAAATGATAGAGACAATAATAGCTGTGGTACTATATCTTACAACTATTTTAAAATGTTCTTACTCAACTTCAGCCACTGGTGCACCCAGCAACACAGGACAGAATTGCTCTTGGCACTGAGATGCTGGATTAGATTTAAACTGACCACAATAATAAGCTTGCTGCTACTTACAGGATTTTCAACCATTTGGCAATGTTTTTCAAAAGCTTCAAAAGAAATGGAACATAAAAATTCATTGTTCTCCCTTTATAACTTTCTCTGTATATTGACACCAACACACATACTACTCCAGCAGTTGATGCCGTGAACAAAACATAATATCTGTTATATAGGAATAAACATACATTTTATATTAAAAGTTAAGTTCAATGAAATGAGATTACCAAAGCAATCAATGGTCTGGTCACCCTTAAGGCCACAGGTTGAATGGAATCAGTCAGTGAGAAAGGCCAAGAACTGAGAGGAACAAAATACATGTTTGTTAGTGGTATACATACATTTGAACTTTTTATTTACTTTAAGGTAGAGTTGGTAAGTTGTTGCCGAAACACTTTTTCTATTCTTTTTGAAATCCTCTTCACGCCCAGACAGCAATCAATAAAGTTGTCTAAAAAAGAAACAGAGAAGCAAAATTCCTTGCCCTCGCAGAACTGTAATAAATACAACCAATTCAGACTGAATGGAATTATTAGTCAGCGTTAATACAGCAGAGAAGATAGACTTAAATCAGAAACGTCTGACATGCTGGCTGACATGCCATTTTTTCCAGAGTAAACCCTGCTCTTGCTAACTTTTTCCAAAGGGACCACCCCCAGTTTTTAGAGAAACTTCTCAGTAATTATCAAATTTTATTTTATTTACACATTTTATATCAGTTAAATACATCACAGAGATAAACAGTCTGCGACCTGGTGGTGTGTTTCATACAAGACACAAAGCAGTCTCTGGTCAGCATAGTCACCATTACTGTGTGATAACAAAACTGATACAAACTGATTTTCAGAACTTGAAAAGAAAATGATAACGATATACTTAATCCTACTGTGAAGTGGTGCCTCCAGTTTTTTATGTTTCCAGTTTGTCTGCTGGAGGCTTCAGGTGAAGATAAAGTACACATGGCTCTGAGTTAATAGAAATTAATCAATCTTGGAGCCATTTTCACTTCTCCACAGAACTCTGGAGGAAAATTGGTGCAGAGAAACAGCCACCACAGTAATTAATCTCTATCTCAAAGGGCTGTGGAAGAGGGATGATAGTTTGGAGCTAGCATGATTAAATTAGTCCCTTTTAACAACCAAAGTTGTGAGTCTCCTTGTGCAAAATACTGTTGGATACGAAATAGTTACAGTAGTGCTTTACAGCTAATTTTGTTGGCAACAAAGTTAAATTAGTTGGATTGAGTGGTTTATCCTGCTATCCAAATGTTGACAGCGACACTAACCTGAACTTGAGCAGGCCAGCACGGCCGTTTGTGGTGTCCTCCTCAGGAAACAGGAGCAAAGGTGCGGTGCCTTCAGTGGAACAGTATCTCTGAAGAGTCTCCCCTATCGCTCCTTGGCCAGATGTTGAATGGATTTCCATGAAGCCTCTGGCCCAACACATGAAGCCTGTGGAGCCCTCTAGCTGTGGCTAAAAAGAAGAAGGAGATACAGCGAGCTCACCAAACACTCCACCCACAATATCTAACTGAGCAAAACACTACAATATGTTGCATAACACAAAAAGGCAAAGTTAACAGACAACACATCATGTCACCCGGGGACAGTTAAATGTCCTCGACAATAGTAAGACTTTGTCATGCTTTCAAGCACCACAGCACACACTGTCTGCTCTGCATGTAAACATCTGTCATCTGCACAAACTGATATTTTCATACAGAACATGATGTGCTATTGTCTGTGCAGTTTCACTGGGGCAGCAATGACGGGGATTCAAATGTAATACTGACCTGTAGCTGATCAAAAAGTCTTTGCAACTGCACCAGTTTTTATATTATTAAATGAGTACAGCAATGCCAACGGGATCATCAATGACTATCAATACTGCAACATTTACAGCTGTGCAGATTTCACCATATATGTTTTCAGGGGTGGGTGCACGTCCACAATTAGGTCATGACAAGCATAGTTTGTGTGTGTTGGCAGGGGCTACCTGTAGCAGGTAACATGTAGTGTTCTTGTGGTGGAGAAATATCTCAAATGTTTCAAACATACAGATTTAAAGTCAAACACTCACAGTATTACAGGGGGTCAGGAGGTTGATTATGTTGAGGTCGAAGTCTGTCACATGATTGCTAATGTACAGCTTGGTGTTTTTGTCTCTGGAGCGAGGGTTTTTCTGTCTCACGTGCATGCCCAGCACCGAGCACATAACTCTCACAATAAATCTAAAGGCAAACAAAGAAACAGGATACACTTGTTAACTGCATGGAAGTCATTACAGTCCCAGAGATCCAAACATCATTAGAGTTGCTGTTTTTGTCAACATTAATAATAAATAATTCATGGTAATAATCTACCAGGTGAACTCTGTCAGCTATAATGCACGTTTTCTCTAATTATGTATTAAGGTACTTCACAACAGAGTCATCATGAAATTACTGTGAGCAACGTCTCATTTCCAGGTGGTCTCTGTGTAAAAGACACATAGTGTATCGAAAACATTGAGCAGCCATTTGCCTTAATGGTGTCTAATGGCTGACTTTAGTGCACTAATTATAGCTGTGAGATGAGGCCATACTGATACACATTCTTAATGGGGTATTAAACAGTATGCATAAAGACGAGCATAACATTATCTGACGTTATTTTTCCTAATTTACTACTACATGTAATTTGAATGCAGACTTGATTGAAATAAATGAATTGTATACAACTACTACTGGTACTGCTTCAGCAACCATTATTATTACTACAATGTAGTAATAAAATGTGTTTGTAGAATGATGCTTTCAAAAATGTTTGTTTAAAACAAATGTTTGTAGAAAAACTGATGCTTTAAAATACTTGCCTTCTAACAAAACTTTCTGGAAGTGCACAGCTGACCAAGAACACGTGTACGCCGATAAAAATCCGTATGAACATCAAACACATGCCAACGGGAAAGTAAACCAGCAACAGCAGAAGAACAACTGCATCTTTAGGGAACCTGTTAGAGTAAAGAATTTAAGAAACATTTTAAATCCAAACAGACAAAACACAATTTGAGAAATGACATTGATGTTCAGACCTTGACAGGATCACACAGGCAGATTACAGTGGTAAAATAAATGTATTTAAGCAGAAAATCAAACAGATCCATGTTTATTAATACTGCTAAGAAGAAGAAGAAGACAATACAATGAACAAGACAGATGAAAGAACAATAAAAAGTAATAAAATTAAAACAATGAGTTACAAATTTTAAATAATATTAAAATAACAGTCTATGAGTTGGACCGCTCTTTAGACTGATTCTGCTGATCTGAAGCATGGACTTTATTTCTTTCTTTACATTTGTGTGTTGAATGACCAAATGAAGGCAGGTGGACATGAACAGCTAAATATGACTCTTTAGTTGAATAGTTGTGTTATATCTAATCTGGAGAGGTTGAGGATTAAATTCATGTGTTCACCTCCACAGTTGTGAACATCATACAGCTGGACATTGTGTGCTTTGGTCTTTGTCACACATCTGCTGGTAAACAACTACATTACAGATTAATACTTGAATGTGGATATTTCTCACCAGTGTAGAGCAGGTAATGAAGAGGGGGGAGGATGAGTGTGAGTTTCAGTCTGCCATTTACCCACAGACCTTATTCCACGTGTTTCTACAGGGTTGGCTCAGCATTAGGTGCTGGGACATGTGTGATGATCATACACTTACACTCCAATCCGACATGATAATCACTTCTACAGCACATACAGGCCTTGTGTGACCCCTGAATGTGAAGCTGGAGTATATGTTCTTGGTGTTTATGATAGAAACACAACCTTTGCTTTTCAATTCTGAGGACACAGCAGAGTTATTCGCTTTAAGCTCAGGGTACCATTACCAGTAAAGGGAAGTTGTTTCTTTAAGTACTCTTCACTCTCAGTTTTCAGGAGACAATGTTGTTATTTTACAATATGAAACCCAGCAACTATCCAGGACTAAACTGGTTAGCACGCTGTGGCTAATCTGAACAATCTGAACATTGATATCAGTATTACACAACGGTGCATCTTGAGAGTTTCCATAAAATGCTTATGTAAACGTCTCCAGCACACAGCCAAATTAGCTAGCTAGCTGTGTGTTTTTAGAAAGACGTGACTCCCGTTGTATGAGTCCAGAGTAGTTAGCTAGCTGACGATAAATGTTACTGGTAACACTCTATTTATTTAGCATAGACCGTCAGTTGCTCTGCCGTGTTTAATTAGCATTAGCCATAGGTTGTTTGTGTAGCACCTTACATTAGCTTAGAGGCGTTAGCCGACTTACCGTCGAAAGTCAAACATGTCTTCGATCCCCCGAGTCTCCATGTCTGCCAGTCAGACCTTTGCTCAGAGGCTAATACTAAGAATTCAACCTGACGCCTGGAAATAAATGAATCATAACGTTCACGACAGGATTTTAAGTCATCCGGTGGCTAAGCTAACAGCTAATGGCACTGTTCCACCGATGAAAACGTTTGAGCGCAGCTTCACTAGGGAGTTTACGATGTTAGCTTAGCAATTGACAACAGATATATTTAGCCGCAGTGCTAACAGCGCTAGCGCCTATTCTCCGCCAGCAGCAACAACACTTCCGGTAAGAATCCTCGAGCGTAAAAGCACTAAAAAATAAAAGTCCCCCCCAACAGGAAGGGTTACGGTATTTTATCGCCATCTAGTGGTTAAATTCGATACTCGCATGTCAATTCATTAAATATTTCATTATATGAGAAAAGTAGATTTAATAC